GTACGCCCGCTCGAAATAGGGCCCCGTTTTCCGAATTCGTGCACAGACCATTAACGCCCGATTCGCTCCGTCGAGTCAGTCCGAACTTTTCAGTAGGCGAATAGTACATACCGTAATTCCTACGATTCCTCTGCGGATTGGGTTCATCTGTTTGACTGGTAGGGTTGATGACCGTTTCACTTGTGACTCATTTTCGCTAACATGTATAACTATTATGTTTGCGGAGCAGTCAGTTATTTTGCGAAACACGTGTAAATCAATTCTGTTCTAATCTCCTTTCAAGAGGAGTTTCACCCATTTTTTGGTGAAGTGGTGTAAAACTCTTCTATGAAAAACTCGACATTCGCGGTGATATGCAGTAGTTGTGAAATGGGTTTTTCACTAGTGTTTTTCATATCACGGTCGTGAAACTCCACATCGCCCAAATTCAATACTACGTGCTCTCGCCCTTCACACATCTACACTGAGTGACAGCTATGGTCTAGAGTATCATCCAGGAACCTATAATGTTGATTGGCCTTGGTATGCTCATTGGCCATTACAGACTCGTTGGGAAAGTTGTCGAGATAATCATCGTTCAACACAACCATAGGAGAGAAATCAAATCTTAGTCTTACTTAATTGATCATGCTGCAACGAGATAGTACTGAGCAAAACGGTCGGGCGGGCGACGACCAAAGATATGAGGAGATTCGTCTTGGGAGCCATGACAAACACAAGAACATACCATTGTTCCGCCCGTCTCTTTGTGGGCTCTGTTTATTTGTTTGATTTGTTAAGGCTGATGAACCTTTCACTTGTGACTCGTATAATCTACCATGTCAAACGTGTATAATTCTGTTTCCACAAAAAACACAACAACATAGTTTTTTCAATATGTAGATACATCAGTGTATAGCAAGACTAAGTAGCTAGTAGCTAAAGGCAAGCCTATGACTAAGGCTGATCAATGTTCCCAGGGGGCCGGACTCATTTTGAATTTTCCACGGATGGCTAGGAACACATTCTTCAATCAATTTCCCATGTAAATGTCATCATCACATTAGCAACATTTTCCCCATTGTTATCAAACCCTTGGGATCGTTATTTCTCAAAGTTAAATGGTTACCTACTATGGTCGAGTCCTTCCTTCGTAAAGCTGTTGGACTTCCACATGAGAAGATCAGAACTCCTCATTACGTGATTGTTTCATGAAGTTGTATTTGATTTGTTATTATATATTTTGTGATCTCGGACGTCATTCAGTTGTCATTGCTCTTTATGAAGATCCGCTTCGGCCTTATCCAGAAGTTGGCCTCGGGTGAGAAGATCAATAAGGTAGTAGGAGTGATATTAGTAGTAGCAGTAGTAGGGGGTCTACTTACGTATATATGCACATGCTCAACTGCACGTGTTGGCGACAATATGAAAATTATGGGGAGAATTGGGAGAAATTTTCATTAGTTTTTGTGCGTTTTCTACCATAACGAGCGAACATATTCTTTTCTAAAACTGGTGTGTGATTCAGATCGGTCAAGGGAAAAAGAACAAAAAAAATCAACAAAAACGCGACAAAAAAGTCGATGTAATGCCCTTCAACAAGAAGCTCACTCGAGCGGCCGAAAGAAAAGAATTGGGTAGTAGCGCTCTCACTGTGCAGCACAAGGTAGATTAATTTTAGTGACGGCTCTGGGAATTATGGATAGTATTAAGAAAGCTGGAGGTCGACCTGATAAACATACCTATGCTAACATCATCAACGTATGCGTTCGATGCGACGATATTACTAAGGCGGAAGAGTAAGTAAAAGTGTGTGGGAAAATATGTTGGTGACAATATGAAAATTTTGAGGAAATTTTTCGGAGATTGTTGTTGGTTTCTGTACATTTCTACTCGTGTATAATTAGTGAGGAAACTACCGAGCTGAGCTGAGGAAAGCTAACATAAATTCCAACACTGATCGACTACATATGTTGGTGACAATTATGAGGAAATTTAGGGGGAATTCTGGTTGGTTTCTGTACATTTCTAATTTCACTAATTAGTGAGGAAACTCCTGAGCTCAGCTGAGGAAAGCTAACATAAATTCCAGCACTGATCGACTACATGTGTTGGTGACAATTATGAGGAAATTTAGGGGGGATTCTGTACACTTTTTACAAAAATTTGTATATATAAACTCCTGAGCTCAGCTGAAGTAAGCAAAAATATATTTCTTTATCACTAACATTAAAAGCAAGGGAGAATCCCTCGAGGAGTTGAAAGTCGCTGAAGTTTCTCCCTAGTGATATGAATAGCACTAGTAAGAAATATATTTCACGACTACTGCATAGTGCCGCGAATATCGCGTTTTTCATGGAGTATTACGCCACTTCACGTAAAACGGGGGAAACTCCACTGAATTTTCATCCGTGATATGAATAGCACTAGCAAAAAATATATTTCACAACTACTGCATAGCGCCGCGAATATCGCGTTTTTCACGGAGTATTACGCCACTTCACGTAAAACGGGTGAAAACTCCACTGAAATATTTTTCACGGTCAATGCAGTTTGGCACTCTTCAAGGTTGCTATTGTCACTGTTGTAGGTTTCTGGCGGAGATGCGTGACTCGGTGGGTCCCTCTGTGGTAGGATCCAAAGGTCGCGGGTTCGATTCCCGGTGGAGACATTTTTTAGGTTCCGATGACTACTATGCTGAAGGGGTATGCTAGTGAAGGAATGAGAGATAAAGCTGTCGAGTTGTTGGAAGAAATGATGAAGACGAAAATTGCTAATGGGCGTTCTGTGAGTAATAATAGGAGGAGTATATGTAATCGCTTTCCTCAGCTGCTGAGCTCAGGAGTTTTCAAAGCTAATTATAGGAGTTTACATCTGAATTCGGGTAGAAGTGTATAGAAATTTACAAGAATTTACCAAAATTTTCTCGAAATTTTCATATTGTCATCGCCAATTTTTGCATATTTTCCCTCTACACTGTCGGTGATCATGAAAATCTACGCGTAGAACTACATATCACAATTTCCATATCTTCTCCCCTTCTACTAGGTGCGTTCCTAAGGGGCTGCCTCAGACATGGATGGTATGAGGCTGCGGTAGCGGCATATAAGAAGGCTAGTGAGAAGGGGATCCTTGAAGACGGTAAGTAGGAGCGAAGTTTAAGGCGAATTCGAAAAGTTGTGGTTCATGTGAGTAGTGGCGATTTGTTGGTTATTAATATTGCAGTTTCAGCCTAGTGATATGCAAAACACTAGTGAAAAATATATTTCACGACTGCTACATAGCGCCGCGAATATCGCGTTTTTGACAGAGTTTTACGCCACTTCACGTAAAATGGGTGAAACTCCATCACTACGGACTTTTGGTGGTCGTCATCGTCATTGTCATTATTATTACTATAGACTCTCACTGATCGTCGCTGCTATCGTCAGGTTGTCGTAACATATACGCCAGGATTCTCTCCTTAGCCGGTCGGAGCTCGGAAGCCATCGCTCTAGAAGGCCTTACTGGAAGTAATGTAGTTGGTCGTATGCAAGTTGTCTCACACGGGGACTGATATGTTACTCTAGTGTTGAAATGTATATATGCGTTCGCTCTTCTCAGCTGAGCTCAGGAGTTTTTTCACTATATTGTAGAAATCCACACACGACTTGGGTAGAAGTATATAAAAATCAAAATTTCTCCATTTTCATTTAGTTGACGATGTTGTTCATGTAAGGTACATTAGCATCGATAGCGACAACCATGGCGATCACTAGTGGCGCCGACAAGGAGGCTGCTGATGCTGCTATAAAGCGAGCTGAAGGGAAGTTAAGCGAAGAGGAGAAGAGAGCTGACGGACTCAAAAGTAATATTGAAAATTTGGACTGTTTTTTAGGGAAATCGCTGATTTTTCCGCAAATTTTTTTTGCTATTGAAAGAGAATTTTTCAGGGAGAAATATTTATGGTTTGTCGTTTGTTATTGTTATTCAATTCGGAATTTTATTTCTTTCCTTGGCAGTTTTGAGGAAATCGCCGATTTTTTCCATTATTATCGAATCGGTGAGGAAGTGCAGAAAAGATTTTGGGAAAACATTTTTTCCGGAAAAAATGTTTATTATTTTTCATGCTCACTCAGGGAGTGTTGAGGAGAAAAACCAAAATACTCGTGAGAAAAATCTTACGTGTATAAATTTATATTATTTGATTTTCCCATAAAAATTAATTAAAAAATATCGTAAAATTAATAATATTTTTTTTCATAAAAGAAATCGTGAGTAATACTTTTGGAGTTCCTCGAAATCGCGGCTTGGCGTTTGTAAAGAGGGAATAACAAAATAGTGATTGACAATATTCAGCAACGATTTTGTTTGAAAACTATTCGTCCTATTCTTATTGTGCTTTAGATAAATTCGGAGATCACTTGATTGCTGAGGCCCGACGAGATTTGAATGCCGCGAAGAAATTCCTGGCGAGCGACACTTCTGTTAATGTAGGATGTTTTTGGCAGCATTGGAGTTTCACCCTAGGGATATGAAAAACATATTTCACTGTGCGGAACACTGCATTGTGTGCTGTCTATCTTGAAGCACCAGCTTCACACAATCGGCCGTTACATAGCTCAGCAGTTGAGCTACAAACTATATAGATAGATTTGATTTTCCGCTCGAACTCCATTGTTGAGCTTTGAACTATGCCCTCTTACAATCATGCCGAAGACCAGACTAGCCAGTCCGCACATCACGACTGCTGCATAGTGTGAATATTACGTTTTTCACCGAGTTTTATACCAGTTTACGTAAAACGGGTGAAACTCCATTTTATGTAAATTGTGAGAAAATTTTAGGGAAATTTCTGTGCACTTCTATTGTATGTAAACTCTTGAGCTCAGCTGAGGTGACCGAAAATATATTCCTCTAAAACTGGTTGTTTTCAGATCAAACCATCTTTTGCGCGCTTTTTATATCTACCAAAGTCCACTGAAAATGACTCTATTGAACAGCGAATTTTGCAAGGATGGAAAGGAATTGGAATCGAGCAAGGTAGGTGTCAATTTGATACTATGCAAATGTGGAAAATGCGCATTTTTTATTCCGGGATTAATGATAGTGAACAACTTGTCGCTATCATAGTCTCGAAAGGTTACTTTTATCACATCACATGTTCATAGCAATGTTAACAATGTTTATGCGATATAGTTTCAGAGCTATTCTTATTAATAACGCACATTATTCACTGTGGTGAAATGAACCCAAATTGATCAGATTCGTTGGGACTGGCGGTCGTCGCTTTGTATATGAACTTAGTAATAACATGAAGTAGATGCGCTCTAACATCGCACTATAGAGGAAACTGCGAGTGTCGGAAAGTATGCACATGGTCAGCAACATGTGTTGGTGACAATATGGAAAATCTGAAGAAATTTTCTGGGGAAATTTTCATTGATTTCCGTGTATTTCCACTCCAATTCGTACCAGTGAGGAAACTCCTGAACTCAGCTGAGAAAAGTGACCATATATTCCTCCAGGGCGTTAGGCGTAAAGTCGGAGGCACCACAAAAAAGAGGGAGTATACTTCGTACGAGACCGAACAGCGTACTACATACGCCCACAGACGTTTTCTCCGCCACTTCGGCTGCACTCAGAAATTTCTGATATATGAACTTAGCAGTAGCGTCATGTAGATGTGCTCAAACGGGGGATATTTTTATTTCTCAGTGGTTGACAACGTTGAGGAGTTCGCGGCGAATATGATGCCTAAGATGCTGAATAATGGGAAGTTGAAAATCACCGATGACGATCGCGGCGTGTGAGTTTGGTTTTCTGATTTGTATGATGAAATTTCAACCGTTTTACGTGAAGTGGCATAATACTCTATGTGAAAAACTCGATTTATGAAAAAGTGAATTGAAAACACTTCGCGAATCACACTGGGAAGATCACTCCGTTTCACGTGAAAAACTCACAGCAATCGTGTATGTTGTTCGCCGCGACTGTTAGCAAGCGAGAAATGTCCGTGCCAGGGATCGAATCCGCAACCTTTACAAACAATACGCGCCCAGTTTCTTCGTCTCGAAACGGTGATTATTGGAGTTTCATCCGTGATATGAGAAATATATTCCACTGAAAATAATCAATTGTTGGTCGCGAATTTCACGGTAAATTCCGGGTGAAAATCGATTATTACTATATCGTGTCAGATGCCTTGAAGTTGGTAGTGGCTCCGGAGACTGGGTACTCTCGCGAGCAAAGCGTGATTGGTCTCAACAGTGGATTGCCGCTGAGTTCAAATTCGACAGGTATGTACAGCACATTGTCCATCACATATGTTGGTATAAAAATGGAAATTCTGAGGAAGTTGTTGGGAAATACTTAACTACTTTTCTACTTTCTACTCGTATTCGTATATGAAGTTGTATAATTAATGAGCTCAGTTGAGGAAAGCAAAG